GGACTTGGGGCTGGAAGGATAGGTTGGAGTCCAAAATGACACCAAGTACTCTGGCCTGCAGGGCGGGTTTGATGGTGGCGTTGTTGGACATGATGGAGAAGTCAATGGGGGGTGGTGTCCGGGCTGGAGGGAAGACAAGAAACTCGGTTTTGGAGAGGTTCAGTTTAAGGAAGTGGAGCGACATCCAGTCTGATATGTCGCTCAACAGGTGTGTGATTCGGGTGGAGACCGAGGGGGTGAGGTGGGGGGTTGAGAGATAGATTTGTGTGTCGTCGGCATAGAGGTGGTAGTTGAAGCCGTGAGAGTGTATGAGTTGGCCAAGGGAGGAGGTGTAGATGGAGAAGAGAAGGGGCCCGAGGACAGAGCCTTGAGGGACTCCAACAGAGAGGGGGAGTGAGAGGGAGGTGGTGGCATTATAGGTAACGCTGAAAGAGCGTTGTGACAGGTAGGATGAGAGCCAGGAGAGAGCAGAATCTCTGAGGCCGAGGGAGTGTAGTTTTTTGAGGAGGAGGGGGTGGTCGACTGTGTCGAAGGCCGCAGAGAGGTCAAGGAGTAGGAGCACTGAATAGTGGCCATTAGCTTTGGCGGTTAGCAGGTCGTTGGAGAGTTTGAGTAAGGCAGTTTCGGTGGAGTGTAGGGGACGGAAGCCGGACTGTAGGGGATCGAGGAGGTTGTTGTCGTTGAGGTGAGATACCCTAGAAAAGGGACTGACCAGATCTAGTAAGAGCTCTCGTTTAACATCAACCAAGGAACATCTTAATGGACTTGAGAGCCATGGCAACATTTTTGCTCAGACAATTGGACTCTGCTAAAACCAGGACTTTGCAAGTAACTTCTTTCTTTTATTCTTAACTTCTTTCTTTTATTCGTCTGTTGTATTATTATTCTATTCATTTCTTTGTAACATCCCTTTCTGGAAATATTTTAATTGCACCATTTCTTTTCTAAGGCTTTTATACATGATTGTGCTGTTCCGGGTAGGGGGCACGGGCCCTACCCGCGTTGCCATTTGTGGGTTCAGCTGTCAATCACTGGGTCCCAGACGATGATTGCTGAGCTTCTCTGACAGGTGGGAGAACTGTTTATACACCTTACAGTTCTGTCCCGTCAGCTCGTGCACACTGCTTTGCATGGCTGTGCATAGCACTGCCATGCAAAGCAGTGTGCTTACAGTGAAGCACTAACACAGGACACAATGTAAAGTCGGCACACAGTTAACTCTTTGATCACCCCACATGTTAACTTCCTGCCTAGTGCCATTAGTACAGTGTCAGTGCTTTTATTAGCACTGATCACTGTATTGGTGTCTCTGGGGATGTCAGTGACACCAAGTCAGTTCCCCCCAATGCCAGAATGCCCGCCGCAGTCCCACTATAAGTCGCTGATCACCACCATTACCAGTAAAAATAAAAACACAAAAATCCCAGTATATATACCGCCATTTGTAGACGCTATAACTTTTACTTAAACCAATTCATTTACATGTATTGGGATTTGTTTTAGCAAAGACATGTAACAGAATAAATTTTGGCCTAAATTTATGACAAAATTTTATTTTTTTTAAAAATGTTTACTGGACATAATAGCAAAAATTCAAAAATATAGTTTTTTGTTTCTCAAAATGAAAAACCCACAGGCGATCAAATACCAGCAAAAGAAATTTCTATTCTTGGGAAAAAAAGAGACGTAAATTTCCTTTGAGTGCAACGTTGCATGACCGCGCAATTGTCAGTTAAAGTAAGGCATCGCCGTATTGCAGAAAACGGCCTGGTCAGGAAGGGGGGTAAATCCTCTGGAGGGTAAGCGGTTAATGTGCCCTATAAACTGTACAACTCAATTGAAAAACTGAAATCTTTTTTTTTTTTTTGGGGGGGGGGGTGAGTAAACATAAAAAACTAAAATAATGTGGTTGCATAAGTGTGCACACCCTGTTATAACTGGGGATGTAGCTGTGTTCAGAATTAAGCAACCACATTCAAAATCATGTTAATTAGGAGTCAGTTCCGGGCCTTATTATTTAAAGTGCCTCTGATTAACCCCAAATAAAGTTCAGCTGTTCTAGTATGTCTTTCCTGACAGTTTCTTAGTTGCATCCTACAGCAAAAGCCATGGTCCGCAGAGAGCTTCCAAAGCATCAGAGGCATTGTTGAAAGCGATTAGTCAGGAAAAGGGTACAAAAGAATTTCCATGGCATTAGATATACCATGGAACAGAGTGAAGTCAGTCATCATCAAGTGGAGAAAATATGGCACAACAGTGACATCACGAAGAACTGGATGTCCCTCCAAAATTGATGAAAAGACGAGAAGAAAACTGGTCTGGGAAGCTGCCAAGAGGCCTACAGCAACATTAAAGGAGCTGCAGGAATATCTGGCAAGTACTGGCTGTGTGGTACATGTGACAACAATCTCCCGTATTCTTCATATGTCTGGGCTATGGGGTAGAGTGGCAAGATGGAAGCTTTTTCTTACAAAGAAAACATCCAAGTCTGACTAAATTTTGGAAAAACACATCTGAAGTCTCCCAAAAGCATGTGGGAAAATGTGTTATAGTCTGATGAAACCAAGGTTGAATTTTTTGGCCATAATTCCAAAAGATATGTTTGGTGCAAAAACAACACTGCACATCACCAAAAGAACACCATACCCACAGTGAAGCATGGTGGTGGCAGCATCATGCTTTGGGGCTGTTTTTCTTCTGCTGGAACTGGGGCCTTAGTCAAGGTAGAGGGAATTATGAACAGTTCCAAATACCAGTCAATATTGGCACAAAACCTTCAGGCTTCTGCTAGAAAGCTGAACATGTAGAGGAACTTCATCTTTCAGCATGAAAACGACCCAAAGCATACATTCAAATCAACAAAGGAATGGATTCACCAGAAGAAGATTAAAGTTTTGGAATGGCCCAGCCAGAGCCCAGACCTGAATCTGATGGAAAATCTGTGGGGTGATCTGAAGAGGGCTGTGTACAGGAGATGCAAAAACACTTCAAATCTGTCAGATTGCGAGGGCAAGGAAGAGTGGGCAAATATTGCCAAGTCAAGATGTGCCATGCTGAGAGACTCATACCCAAAAAGACTGAGTGCTGGAATCAAATCAAAACGTGCTTCAACAAAGTATTAGTTTAAGGGTGTGCACACTTATGCAATCATATTATTTTAGTTTTTTATTTTTACTTCCCTCCACCTAAAAGATTTCAGTTTTGTTGTTCAACTGAGTCGTACAGTTTATAGGCTACATTAAAGGTGGAAAAGGATCTGAAATGATTTATGATGTGTGTGTGTATATATAAATCTATATGTAGGTAGATATATACAGTATCTCACAGAAGTGAGTACACCCCTCACATTTTTGTTAATATTTTATTCTATCTTTTCATGATAGAACAACACTGAAGAAATGACACTTTGTTACAATGTAAAGTAGTGAATGTACAGCTTGTATAACAGTGTAAATTTTCTGTCCCCTCAAGCGGTACACTCACTACTTTACATTGTAGCAACGTGTAATTTCTTCAGTGTTGTCATATGAAAAGATAGAATAAAATATTTACAAAAATGTGAGGGGCGTACTCGCTTCTGGGAGATACTGTGTATGTAAATATATATATTTTAAATGTGTGTATATTATATATAATTTGACGGTGCTATATAAGTACCTGTAATAAATAAATAATATCCATCTTTGGTGCCTATAGTGGTAGGATGATAAGCGGTATATCATTTGGAGGAAATCACACCTTCCTTACAGCCAACTGTATTTCTGTTATTGCTTTAGGGTTTCTTTAGCCTTAGAAGATAAATTAAATGGATAATTTCACAAGAAGTGCCCCAACGTTTTTGTATGAACCCTAGTGTAGTCACAGACATTACCCAGGTCCCTGTAAAAAACTGTCAATTAATCCTCATGAATTTTAAATAATATACATAAAAGTCTACGATGGTTAAAAAGAAGAGATTTAAAATAAACATGCTATTTGGGGGGGGGGGGGTTATATGTTATATGCTTGGGTGTAACTTTAATTTTTCAAAAAAAAAAGAAAATTTTTTTTACATAATTTTTTTTTTTTTTTTTTTCATCACAGAGGGGACAAAAAGTCTTCTATGTGATGGTTTTTGGTGACAGGTTCTCTTTATTGAGTCACCTTTGGTCTGAAAGACCATGCATGTCTCTCCTGTACTCGATATAATGCAGTGCATATCGCATTGCATTACATTCTTTCCCGGCCTTGCTGGGCGGGAATCTGTCAGCGGGGACCCAGAAGTGATATCACATCACTTCTGGGTCAGGACAAGGAGGGGAGTGGATGTGTCCATTCTCTTCCCTCTGCTATACCCGCCGGCAGCCACTGACTGGTCCTGGGCCAGCAGATGGGCAAGTGGAACCCTGGAGACATAGTGGGCAGGGGGGGGAGTTTGTGGAGGCTGGCACCATAATGGGCTGTATGGAAGCAATCGGACGACAGCTCTGCCGCCCAGATGCTTCCACCTGAGAGATGAGCCCTGCTGCTTGCCCGGCTAAAGGCAATTAAAACTACCTGCCCGTGCTCGGAACTACATGTCCTAGGCATTGAGCGATATGAACTTAACATCCCGGAGTCTGTGAGAAGCAAAGCTCCTAATTCTGTCTGAAAAGTAGCTCATCTACTTTTTTGAGTGACAGGTGTTTTCAAGCGACAGACCACTCAGATGTCAGCAAGGGCTTTTTGAAAACAATAGGTTTTTGCTTGTTGAGGGTTTTTGAGCTACTGTTTTGTGGATACATTTGAAATGAACTTACCGTATATATGTTTGTGTTCCCTACTGATAGATGTATTTGGTGGCTTAGTGAAAATATAATTTCTTTGGTATAAGTCTGTGATTATGGATAAATATTTTTTTTTTTTCCCCCTAGTTAAAATGTAGCTAGTTTGACTTGTAACAATCTCTCTCATCACCAATATGCTTTAGTACTAGACATATTTTATTCAAAGTTACATTTGTAACCGTGTCCTCCTTCCAGGTGCAGCAGTCTTCCTAGTGCGTTATCAGCTGTGCAGTGTACGACAGCAAGGTGGTTCTCGAAAAATCCAGTCTTACCTGACTTACCAAAAGCTCCACTGAAGGAACCCCCAAAAGCTCCTCTGTCATCTTTTTTTCGCTTTTTACGTCACCAGCGACCACTACTGAGTCGGAAGTACCCAGGTAAATTCTTGGATATGGTTTTAACAGAAATATCTAATTTGTGTATTTCCCACAATGCACAGGTGACACATATACAAATTTGTATCAGAATTAACCTTCCAAGAGTTTAACTCCAGTAAACTAATTGGTTGCTATGAGTTGTGGAACTTTACCCGTTACCATTGTGTTCATCTTTGCCCACCAGTCTCTTCCTCCTTATTGGTAGGTTGAGATCTGGGCTCACTCCATTTTTCAGTGCCTGGAGAAGGCCACTTTTGTGTGGTGACTTCTTTTGTGGCCTGGCCTGGCCTGGCCTGGTTTGGATCCTTCCTGTCAGCAATGCTTGAGCAGTGAATAGATGTTTGTCAGGGAATTGGGAAGATCGCTGGGTCGATCGAATCCGCACATGCTTAGAGTCCTGACAAAACGTACAGGCAGGCGGGCACTAGGACCCAGACGCGCCTGTCACCAATGACGGCACCAGGCAAGCATTAGGACCCAGGAGTGCCTGTCAGGAGTTGGGCTGGCTATTTAAACCCAGCTCTTGCAATGCTCAAGTGCCGTATGGTCTTTCCTGTGAGTTTACTTTGCTGCTGACCCTGCCTGATCCTGATCTGCTGACTTCTCCTGCTCTGACCCCTGTCTTGCCTGACCATTCTCCTGCCTGCTCCTGCACTTTTGATCTCCTGTTGCCAAACCCGGACCGTGACCCGTTTATTCTTCTGCCTGCTGTTTTGTACCGACCTGCTCAGCTGTTACCGACCCAGCCTGTCTGACCTCGCTTACTCTACCTCCTCACATCAGACTCTCACCTGCTGCGTACCACCGACAGGTGCCTCTTCCACAGCTGGTTGCACCCAGGGGTCGCAACCTGGTCTCAGCTTGCTCCAAGTCCATCCCCACCATCAGGGGCTCAGGTGAACAAGCAAGTCGGAACTTAGATTCCGCGCCCTGGGGAATTCTGGTCTGTGGGCCGCTAGAGGCTACCACCGGCTGGTCCCTAACAATGTTGCTGCCTGGGGATGTGCCAGGCTAGATCTGTTGTTTGTAAGCTGCTCAAGCCCAGGGGGAATGGTCAGGGATGCTGGTGCCTCTGCTTGCCAAGCTTCCTGAAAGCGTTGGTGTGAACTCTGGAAGAACATTTTGCAGTTCTCCTCCATTGACCCTCTGCTGTGTTCGGAGGGCAGACAGCAGCTTTGGCAGTGACTGGGACCAGTGAAATACGTATTTACCGGTAAGTATGGAGTTGACTTTTTATCTCACTACTGCCTGGTTGTGTAGTTTGCTGTCACTGCACATTTCTCCTCAGAGTTCTCTAGGACCTGTCAGTAACACGGGGGATTCTTGTTGTTAGTGGTCTTCATGTGTCCTGGCATGATTGCCCTTATTTTATTGTTGGCATGTGCTCCTTGTTCAGAGCTTGAAGGGTTGAGCTTCATGAGAAACCTGTTTTAGCTCTCTGCTAACCCTAAGGAATATATAATGGGCAATTTTGAGGTACAGTGTGTCCAACCCTTCGGTCAACTTGTTGATGGTTCTTGATTATGATGGCAGATTTACAGTAACTTCTATTACAGTATTAAGAAGGAATTGTCCTCTATTTTTCCAGCCATCTTCATTGCTAATCTAAAACTTTTTTGTCAACCTTAAAGGCACTGTTTTTCACCTGCATGTAATTTGTTGCCCAGTACACACAGCCCAGTAGAGTAAATCTTCACATTCCCATGTCAGTAGTTTCTGTAGAAACAGGAGATATCTGGCATGGCACTGCACAAGTTAAAGTGGTTGTGAACCCTTGAAACAAATCCTCCTACATACGTTGTACCTGTTTATCACCAGTCTTCTCTTTACATCTATTCAAAGTCCAGAATAAATACAGCTTTTTGAGTGTTCGGGAAAAAAGGTGTCAGAGAGCTAAAGTTATACTTTGCAGAGCTCAGTGAAGAGAGTTCTGAAAGCTGATTGGAGGGAAGGGATACACCCCCTCCACACAGCTCCCAGGAACAAAGCTGAGGTTATCATTCAGCTGGAGCTTCCTCCACTGTCACCATTTTTCTCTTGGTGTCAGGGAAATTTGTGTCAGAGGTGAATCATGCTGATAGCAGAGGAACAAAGCAGCAGATAGAAATGACACATTGTGCTCTTTAATGAGACAAGTACATACTATAGCGGGATATAGTTAATCTGGCTAAAAAAAAAAGACAAAAGTCCATCCAGTTCAACCATCAAATATATATATATATATATATATATATATATATATATATATATATATATATATATATATATATATATATATATATATATATATATATATATATATATATATATGCTTTCTTCAGATTTCATATCTGAGGTTTACAGCCACTTTAATGCATGACCTCTGTCTATAATATGAGAACTTACATTTCCTGTGAAGAAACAACAAATCCCACACAATCTGGGTTTCTCAGTCTACTGTTTGTGCAGGTGAGAGCTACACAGTAGTTAGATCAGACACAGATGCAAGCAGGTAGAGAATGCAGACACACAGAGAGCTCACATGCAGCCAGAAGATGTTTGATTTTTGCATTAGCACTTCTACACTTGTGATGTGACACAGAGTGGAAGTCAAGGCATGTATTGGATAATATGTGACCCAGAACAGAAAATTGTCCTGTCCTCTTGGCTGAAAAGGACAAGTTAGTTGAAGCAATATATGGACATGGGGGAATCGATCAGCCATGACACTTCAAACTGTAGCCACAAAATGTCAGCCCATCATTACAAGGTAATGCAAACAAACAGAACAGGGAATATTACTACACTAATACCTAGTTGAAAGTGTACAGATCCTTTATTCTGTGCCAGTATTCACTTCAGCCTCTTCACAGGTTTTTATCTAACAAGTCTGCCTAAGAGGTTTTTTTTTTTTTTTGCCAGGTATGTTTATTGATTCTAGTGTCTCTCAGACCGGCTGTCCTAACTAGGATGAACAACAGGATGTGTGAGCTAAATATGTTCCTAACTGAAGAAACTGCACTAAGTCGAGGCTCCTGAGTGAGCTATTACTTTTAAACATGCTGTGGGGCATGTCCAATCCTGTCCAATCCTGGGTTAGATCAGGCCATCTCCTGATCTGAGCTACAGAGAGTCACAATTGAGACAGTAATAAACTGTGTGTTCAAGGACTAAGAGCCTAACAAGAAGACTGAGAGAAAAAACAGTATAGGAGGCTGTTTAGAACTTAAATTACATCTCTATCTGCTCACAGCTAGATAAATAGTATAAGTTGAATAGCCAGGATGCTGGTAATTATTTGCACCAATTGGACAAGCTCCTAATAAACACCACACTGAGCATGTGCAGAGTGACTGCACATGATTAGGACATAAGAGGGGGCACTGGAAGAAGAAGATCACAGAAGTCAGGATCAAACAGCTTTTTTACACAATGCAGAGGATTAAACCCTTAGGTTCACAGTGAGTATAGCAAGCATGCTTTACTGCATATACAGATTGATTATACTGTTGTCGGTTTAGTAACACTTGAAAGTGCTTGTAAACCTTCAGACATGGAAAATGAACAAAGCATAACCCTCTGTGTACTTGTCTCAATCTAGAGCACTACGTGTCATTTCTGTCTGCTGCCTCTTTCCTCTATCGGCATGAATCAATTCTGATGAGTTTTCCTGACACCAAGAGAAAAATGGTGACCAGGAGGGCATAGCCTGTGGTTGACTGCCTCAGTTTTTTTTCTTGTGAGCTGTGTGGAGGGGGTGTGTCCCTTCCCTCCAATTAGATCTCAGAGTTCTCACTGATGCAACGTCAACTCCCCGCCCCCTGCTTTTCATAGCTGAGAGTTCTTGAGTAATTTCTGAACTTTGAATAGATGTAGGGGACAGACAGCTGTAGATAAACAGGTACAACATGTGTCGGAGTATTTTTCATTTCTGTGTATCACCTGAGGCAAGTCACTTCACTGGGTATATGTAGGGGTTTACAACCACTTTAAGGACTTTCAGAAAAAAACAGCCTGTAGGATCTAGTGATACCTTACTCGCAGTTTACTTGTCCTTTTTCCATGCCGCCATCTAGGAGCCAGGTTTCACTCCCTAACTTTGAAACCCGGCCCCTCGTGATGTGCAGTAATGCTCTGTAAGTGTGAAATCTTGTGATACGCAGGATTTTGGCATTCTCTAGCCGGTAGGCCTTGTAATTTGTGATCGGGCTATCCCAGGATGTTGCAGGTGACCTGAAGAATCCCTTTTTTCTGGGCAAGAATTGTGGAAGTAGAATGTGAAATATTGGGTATTTACTAAAGTAAAAATATGACATTTACATGCAGTTGTATAGGAGGTGGGGGGAGAAAGTGACTGAAAAACAGTTTGGAGAAAGGTGAAAAGTCCACTCTAATGTTGTAAAAGGGTTTTCTGCAAAGATTTGTATATTTATTTTTGCACGTTTGTGGTATTTTTAAGCTTGTTCAATATATGTGTTTCTATTTTTTATAGAGGCGTCAGTCACTGAACTTGTCAAGATTATTGGAAGTGAATGGAGAGCACTTCCAGAAGCTGAAAAACAAGAGCTTTATACTAAACATTAAATAATAAATATATGTGAAATAAATCCTTATAAAATTTGAGTCATGGCATTGGCTGAGGCAGGTTGATGATGTCAACAGGTATAGATGAATCAGAGTGACTTGCGAGCCACAGGTGTGATAATTACTAGAGGATCGCAAACATGAAACACATAACTACAACTGTGTTGGAAATATCTACAAATATATGTTGCGCTCCTAAATACTTCACAATAAATAATAATTAAATTATTACCATTCAATTAATTCAAATTATGATACAAATAACTAATAAAAGTGTATAAATACCAAAAAATATTTAAATAGATAATTTCAACTAATCAATCTCCTCCAAATAAATATCAAAATAATTCCACATGAAATACTCCTCTAAAAAAATATTTTGCCAAGTGCTCATAAATCATCTATTAGTGACATGATGTACTTACTAATACCCTCAATTTCATTTATATTCATAATACCCTCATTTAATATAATAAAATAATAATAAACCAACTAATAACCCTCAACTAAAACGCATTTAAATGATCCCCCATAAATAAAAATAACCAAATGCTCATAAATAATTAGTAGTGATTAGTATGAATCCAAATATCATCAAAATAATAGTCCCATTGAATAAACAATTGTTTATATATAGTGACTTGGTGCTTGTTGTTCTTCAATTTGTGACTTTTGTGAATCCTTCAAATAGTGAAGATGTGCGCTCACCTCCTTTGATGCCTGCAATTAGGGTATACACGCTTTCGGTTCACTTTCCCAGGAACCTGCTGGACATATACTTTTGCTGGTAAAATTGGGAGATCCTTCCTTTAGGAGTAATGGATGTATCCTCTGGTGGCTGATTATCCCCTCAGGGATTACACACTCCTTTTGTTATCTCAGACCTCCTAATTATCCTCTCCTTGTGTTACTCCGCATGCAGGAAGAAATAGAGGACATAGTGCTTTACCTTTTAAAACATTTTATTCCCACCATCCAAGTATTAAACTCACATTAGACAGGTTTAAATAACGCAATATCCCATTGGAAATCCTCTGCTGGCCTCTGAGTCATACACCTGCCGTCTATCGTGTTGTGCAGCTCCTCTCCGAGTGATGACGTAGCCCCTCCCCTACGCGTTACGCCTCCAATCACGTGGCTTCATCAGGGGGTTGTGATAGCACAAGTTATCGGTTAATTACCGGTTAATTCTACCAGTTAATTCTCAGCAGTATCGTACATCTTTAGGAAATTCCTTCGAGGACAGTGAGGTGCACATTTTGGACAGAGTGGGCTTGACTACCTCAACATTAGCAAAATGTTGAGGCAGTCAAGAAAATCAACATCAGAAAGAAGAACATAGAACAAATAAAAAAAAAGGTAACATACAAATAAGTCATTTTTTCTTTTTACAAAAATATATTAAAGCTAAGGAGGAAAATCCATCCCAATGATTAAAAGCATATATACAGTGGATATAAAAAGTCTACACACCCCTGTTAAAATGTCAGGTTTCTGTGATGTAAAAAGAGACAAAGATAAATAATTTCAGAGTTTTTTCTAACTTTAATGTAACCTATAAACTGTACAAGTTGAACAACAAACTGAAATCTTTTATGTGGAGGGAAGTAATAATAAAAAACTAAAATAATATGGCTGTATAAGTGTGCACACCATTAAACTAATACTTTGTTGAAGCACCTTTTGATTTGATTCCAGCACTCAGTCTTTTTGGGTATGAGTCTATCAGCATGGTACATCTTGACTTGGCAATATTTGTCCACCCTTCCTTGCAAAAAACACTCCAAATCTGTCAGATTGGGAGGGCATCTCCTGTTCACAGCCCTCCGCAGATAACCCCACAGATTTTTGATCAGATACAGGTCTTGGCTCTGGCTGGGCCATTCTAAAACTTTAATCTTCTTCTGGTGAAGCCATTCCTTTGTTGATTTGGATGTATGCATTGGGTTGTTCTCATGCTGAAATATGAAGTTCCTCTTCATGTTCAGCTTTCTATCAGAAGGTTTTGTACCAATATTGACTGGTATTTGGAACTGTTCATAATTCCCTCTACCTTGACTAAGGCCCCAGTTCCATCTGAAGAAAAATAGCCCCAAAGCATGATGCTGCCACCACCATGCTTCACTGTGGGTATGGTGTTCTTTTGGTGATGTGCAGTGTTGTTTTTGCACCAAACATATCTTTTGGAATTATGGCCAAAAAGTTCAACCTTGGTTTCATCAGACTATAACACATTTTCCCACATGCTTTTGGGAGACTTCAGATGTGTTTTTGCAAAATTTAGCTGGGCTAGGATGGTTTTCTTCATAAAAAAAGGCTTCCGTCTTGCCACTCTACCCCATAGCCCAGACATATGAAGAATACAGAAGATTGTTGTCATATGTGCCACACAGCCAGTACTTGCCAGATATTCGTGCAGCTCCTTTAATATTGCTGTAGGCCTTTTGGTAGCCTCCCAGACCAGTTTTCTTCTCGTCTCTTCGCCAATTTTGGAGGAATGTCCAGTTCTTGGTAATGTCACTGTTGCACCATATTTTCTCCACTTGATGATGACTCTGTTCCATGGTATATCTAATGCCTTGGAAATTCTTTTGTACCCTTCTCCTGACTGATACCTTTTAACAATGAGATCCCTCTGATGCTTTAGAAGCTCTGTGTGGACCATGGCTTTTCCTGTAGGATGCAACTAAGAAAATGTCAGGAAAGACCTACTAGAACAGCTGAACTTTATTTGGGGTTAATCAGAGGCACTTTATATGATGGCAGGTGTGTACTTACTCCTATTTACATGATTTTGAATGTGATTGCCTAATTCTGAACACAGCTACATCCCCAGTTTTAAGAGGGTGTGCACACTTATGAAACCACATTATTTTTGTTTTTTTATGTTTATTTCCCCCCAAAAGATTTCAGTTTGTTTTTCAATTGAGTTGTACAGTTTTATAGGTCACATTTAAAGGTGAAAAAGTTCTGAAGTTATCCACTGTATGAAGCAGATATACTGTAGCTACTCCATGAATCAAAGCAAGCTATGCTCCTGCACTACTGTACATGTCAGTGAGTAGACAATGATAATTTACTATTTTTTTTTCTTATTGCCAGGTATATGTAGATGCTGCAAGGGTTGATATTATGAAATACAGAGAACTTTATAAACACTACAAAGAGAGTCTTGATCCTCTGGACCTGTCAGTACTGCAACAGCAAAGGAAGAAGAAGTTGGAAAGGAGAAAACTGAAGAGACAGAAAATGGTAAGTTTTAAATGTTGCATGAAATCAGTAACAAGTGTAAGCTGATCATACCTTAGAGTCGTTCTAAAGGCTCTCTGTGTGTAGCCCCCCCCCCCCCCCCCCCCCAACACTTACCTGAGGCCCATCTTGATCCAGCTATGTCTATGAAAACCTCGGTTCTCCGGGGACTCTGAAACCTGATTAGCTGAGACAGCAATGGGAGCCACTGTCAATCACAGCCAGTGAGCCAATCAGGAAAGGGAGGGGGCGGGGCCGAGCCATGGCCCCATATGTGGATGGACATGCAGAGGGCACCCAAGCAGGGAGTGCTCCTTCTTGGGTTCCCCCATAGCAAGTTGCTTGCTATGGGGGAACCCAACCAGTGGGAGGGGCCAGGAGCGCTGGCTGGGGACCCAAAAAGAAAAGGATCCGGGCTGCTGTGTGCAAAACCACTGCACAGAGCAGGTAAGTATGACACGTTTATATTTTATAAAGAAAAAAAAAAAACAACAAGACTGTAGTATCACTTTAATGTGGTTGTAAACGTCTGACATGGAAAATGAGCAAAGCATATCATTCCATAAGTGTAAATGTGCCTCAGTCCAAAGCACTGAGTGTGTTTTGTGCCTGCAGTCTGATGTTTCTGCAATCTGTATGAGCCATTTCAGACAGGTTATGTAGACTAAGAGATTGAGGGGGAGGAAAGCTTCAGCACATAGCCTGAGATTGACAGCATCAGCTGTGCATGTTTCACTATGAGATTTTGTAGAGGTGGGTGTGTCCCTTCCCTCCACTTAGAACTCATATTACACTCACCTCTCCTCTCTAAGCTGTGCAGTGTTTGACATCAGATCCTTCATCCCCATCTATGGAAAAACCAGCGTAACTTTGGGACTTTAAGGCAATGTAGAGAAGAGAAGGCCTCAGATAAACAGCTGCAACTTGTAGGAATATTTGCTTCATCTTTGTATATCACCTGAGGCTTGTAAGTAATATAAGTGTTTACAGCCTCTAGTGAACCTGTGATTTGCTTTTGCAGGGTAAAGTAACAGGTTCAGGTAATGTTCATCCCTCTGAACTGTACACACATTCCCTTTAATAATTTGCTTTGTTCAGTTGCCAGGGACAAAGAGAGTTCTGTAGGCATTTTCAGCTAAAGATTCGACAAGGCTGAGGACTTTGTTACTGTACTTATGTAGGCACCTAAGTAGCCAAGTATCAGTACTGTCATATGGGAGATAAGGATGTCAGTCATATGCTCCCCTTGCAGGGAAATATTACTTGTTCATTTTCACAATCTGTTGCAAAATTCAATTATGGGGAAGTGAAGACAGGAACATTTTTGCAGCTGGAGAAAGGGGTAGTTCTCACGTTGTTGCTGAGCATGGGCAAAGCATAGGTTAACCTTGGGGTCCTTCCACCCTAATGTGAGTCAATCCAACTGTTGACCATGGAAGTAAAACCAATGTACATAGAAAAATGGAAAAAGGATTTGGGGATAGAGATAGATGAGGCTAAACAGAGGAAAATATATTGACTTACACACGAAAACATCAGCATGAGAGAGGTGGAGGTAAATTATAAGTGTTTGGTAAGATGGCACATCACACCGACTGTTGAACATAAAATTGGTGTAGAGAGAGCACAAGAGTGTTGGCGGGGGTGTGGAAAGATTGGTACGTGGTTTCATATATGGTGGGAGTGCCCAATGATTCAAAGCTTCTGGGAGACAATGGTCAACTTAATAAGGAAAATCTCAGGGATAAAGATAGGATTAGATCCAGAAGTGTGCTTATTACATAATACAGAGTTACCAGTGAATAAATACAAAGATTTGGGTATATGGTACTATGTGAATGCAGCAAAGGGCTTGATACCTAAATTCTGGCATAGTTCAGAGGTGCAGAGAGAAAAGGATTGGGTAGAGAGAGTAAATCAGATTAGTAGGATGGAGAAATTGTACTATATCCAAGAAGACAAGATGGAGATATACAATAGGAGATGGGGGAAATGGGAAGATTTTGTACATCAAACGAATATATGTGAAGCAATGGGAAGTGATAAGAGAAGTTTCTTGATTTTATAGGGAAGGATGTAGGAGAGAAATGCAGAGTGGGAGGGTGGTGGGACGTGGTAGGGAGTAGGGGTGGAGGGAAGGGCTATAAAAAGGGGGAAATAGAAGGAGATAGGATTAAGAATTGTATATATTATATGAGATTGTTGAAGAAATGTATTGTTATGCTCTTCTTTCCTTTTTTTCCCTTTTTATATGTATTTATAAATATGAAAAATTAATAAATATTTGAATTAGAAAAAAAAAAAAATCCAACTGTTGACCAAGGAAAAAGTAACTTCAACTTGATTAAGAGTACATGGTGATGATACATTATGCCATAATTGTCTGTCGAGACCCTGTGCCTTCAGCTAAAAAAAAAAAAAATCTAAAAGCAGGTCCCTGCAATAGAAGAGGGATTACACTCACATCTGTGGCTGCCTGTATCGCCCATCTACACTCTGAGCACTGCAGCTTCCATCATGCTCTTCAGGCACTGGACACCGCACACTCTGGTTCCATGCTCAAATTCTTTGTTATTGCTGTGTCCTGTAGTAGAATAGGGGGTCAAGGGAAAAATCACAGCACACAGAAGAGGATACAGGCATCCGACACTCCCAGAATTGGTGAATGCTAAAGAGTCTGATGGAGGCTGCAGCACTAAACAGAGGGAGGATATGAGACAGGGGTCCCCAAAGATTCACTATTTTTTTCCTCTTCTAGTATAAGGAGCTGGTATTTAGATTTCTTTTTTTTTAACTGACAGGGCCTTTTTAACCCCTTCACGCCTAAGCGTAAAACAAATCTTAATGCCTAAGCACATTTTTGCAAAGTTGACATGTGTTAGTAAAACCATACATATCTTCACAACTACTTTGTACATCCAGGTGAATCATACCTTGTTTTTTTCAGGACAAATTGGGCTTTCATTAGGTGGTAAATGGTAATCTGCTGTGTTTTTTTTTTTTTTTTTTTTTTTTTTTTTTTTTTTATTATTATTATTTATTATTATCAAAGCAAAACTGGCTCAAAATAGTAAAAAAAAAATATTTTTTTAAAATGTAGCGGTGTGTTTCTTGTTACTACCATAACCTACCACCAAAGAACAACCCAAAAAAAAATTTCAGCTCTTGACGATTGCAGCGATACCATATATGTGTATGTTATCTGTTGTTTGTACCTGTACTACAGCCCAGAAACAATAGTGCTCATTTTGTTTTTTTTTTGTCTATTTAAAACACACTGATACCAATTTTTAAATAATACTGACCTTTGACCCTGACCTTTTGACCTTGACCCAAACACTTACCCTAGCACTGAACTAGATCAAACCTTGATCTAGGTATTTTTTCTTTATTTTTTATTTTATTTTTTAATATTTATTTATTTTTTACCAAACCTTTTTTTCCTCTGTGCCACGAGTTAGAGCGATACAATGCATCTCTCTCCTTCATTCATAGAGAAAAAAAAAAGTGGGGGGGGGGCCTATACAGTGACTGATCACTGTAATAGCAAATCAGAGGCTATCACAGCGATCATGTGACTCGGAATCGGGAGTCTCAGGTTCAGATTATTAGAACGGGACCTGGGGCTCTCAGTGACACCCGGGTCTTTGTGCTGGGAGCTTGCTGTGCGGCGTGCTCTCAACAGAAAGACAGGTACGCAAATATGCAGCCCCATGGAACAAAAGCCCAGTTCTGTGAAGCCGCATATTATTATTATACAGGATTTATATAGCGCCAACAGTTTGCTCACCGCTTTACAATATAATATTTGTGTGACGTTGGCGTGAAGGGGTTAAGATATTTTTGACTGCACAACAAGGTTTAAGGCTTGATTCACATATGTGCGGGTGGTGCCGCTGCGGATCCGCATGAAAATCTGTGTGCAGCCGCACCACCCGCACAGAGGAATGCGGACCCGCAGGCGGGTGCCATTAATTCTAATGGCATGCCGCCTGCAATAAAAAATGCAACCGTACTGGGAACTGAGGTTCTTGTGTGGGCTGCGTTTTTCAAAGAACTGCAGGGACTTCTTCCCTGTGTGTCATGGGCACGGGAGTCCATTCAAATGAATGGGCTCTCATGCCCGCGCAAACACGGCCGCATATATGTGAACCTGGGGTAAGCAACAGTGGGGCTGATTTACTAAAACTTGAGAGTGCAAAATCTGGTGCAGCTGTGCATGGTAGCCAATCAACTTCTGACTTCAACTTGTTCAATGAAGCTTTGGCGATAAAACCTGGAAGCTGATTTCTATGCAGAGCTGCACCAGATTTTGGACTTTACAACTTTAGCAAATCAACTCCAATGTGGCTAGGATTTGTTATTTTTATAAGATAATTTTTAGTTTTTCTACATTTACCAGATACTCCTCCGTTTACTATTAAATAAGTAAAGCTGTGTTGTGAGCTGTTTTAACCAGTGTTTCCTTTTCGTTTACTGAATTTTATATGTTTATGTTTTATTATTCAGGAACACAAATTATTTGGGAGACCCAAAAGAAATCTTAGTGCCTTCAATATGTTCATGACAGAACATTACAGCGAAACCGAGGGCAATACTATGTTTGTAAGTAAATGCATAAACTATGTAGTACTTGTTTATGAGGGTGTTAGAAGACCAACGTTATTAATATGTTTATATGCTGAATATTTCCACATAAACTGCACAACCACACAAATAAAAAAAAGTGACAAAATGCACATTATCTTAAAAGCAATTTGGTCCAGTATCCAAAGAACCAAGCCACAATAGGCCAAATATCAGTCCCATCCTATCATGACACAGGTCATTGCATTGAATAGTACTGTAAATACAAAAATAACCTGTTCAGTGCTGACCATTCAAACACTAATTTCTGGCAGAATTGGTGCTAATTTGTAGCTAGAAGTTAAAGTGTTACTAAACCCACAACAGTGAAATCAGTCTGTATATGCAGAAAAGCATGCTTGTTATACTCACTGAGGAACCTAAGGGGTTAATCCTCTGCATTGTGTAAAAAGGTTGTTTGACCCTGACTTCTCTGATCCTCCCCTTCTTCCAGTATCCCCTTCTTATCTCCTGATGAGGAGTCACTCTGCACATGCTCAGTTTGGTATGAATTGCTAGAGACTGATTTTTTTTTTTTTTTTTTTGGGAGAATGCATGTGATCAGCACTGTCCAGATAGAGGTTCTGCATCCCCCTACAGCAGAAAGAGAAAACTCCTTCTACAAGTTTTAACCAGTGCTCTGCTGGACACTGATAGAAGTCACAAGACCATTCTAACTGCTGATGAGTAAACGTATTTAGCGGTTTATGTTTACTAAAATTATTGCACTTCCACGTTCTGTGTACTGTGAGAGACCAGATATAGTGAATGCAGAGTCCTGGGTTTAGTAACACTTTAACCACTTGCCCTCCTAAGGATTTACCCCCCTTCCTGTCCAGGCCATTTTTTGTGTTACAGCGCTGCATTACTTTAACTGACAATAGCGCAGTCATGCAACGCTGCACTGAAATGAAATTTACGTCTTTTTTTGCCCCACGAATTGAGCTTTCTTTCAGTGGTATTTGATTGCCTGTGCGATTTTTATTTTTTGCGCTATAAAAAAAAAGGCCGACAATTTTGACGTCGACAAAAAAAACCCATTATTTTTTACTTTTTGCTATTAAATATATCTAGTAAAAAGAATAATATAAAACAGTGCAGCGCTAAAAGTTATGAATAAGTTCTCATGAAATAAATGAGGATTCGTATTAAAAGTCTTTTAAATAACATAAATAAGTGCCAGGTGATAGGTATTCGTCAATGGTGGTGCTCCATGGGAAATAGTAGAAATGCGCACTCACCAGAAAATAAATGGATATGAGCGTTGTATATAATTTCCAAAAAGATCCTCATCGGTAAAGAAAGGTCTGATCAACATGGGTAATCCTCCCTCAGGTATGGTAGCAGAACTGGCCCATAGTAGAGATGAATCAGATCCAGGTAACCAGAGGTCTCCTCAGGGGGGATGGATGGAAGGAGCTGCCTGTTTACAGGGCGTCTTCCACCTCTTGGTGTGGTGCCTGGATCCGTAGTACAGGGCTTCTGAAATTAACCGTTTCAATACCGTGCAATTTTACACCTTCCTGCCCAGGCCATTTTTCAGGTTTCAGCGCTCTCACATTTTGAATGACAATTGCGCGCTCATACAACACTGTACCCAAACTAAAATTTTATCATTTTCTTCACACAACTAGAACTTTCTTTTGGTGGTATTTAATCACCGCTGGGGTTTTTATTTTTTGCTAAATTAACAAAAAAAGACCAAAAATTTTGAAAAAAAAAAAAAAACACATTTTTCTTTGTTTCTGTTATAAAAGTTTACAAATAAATAATTGTTCTTCATAAATTTAGGCCGAGATGTATTCTGCTACATGTCTTTGGTGAAAATAACCCAAATTAGGATGTATTTTTTAGTTTGTAGGAAAGTTATAGAGTTCACAAACTATGGTATAGATCTGAATATTGATCAATCCTGAAGTACTGACAGCCAATCTAATTTCTTGAGGTCCAAGAATGTCAGAATAGTACAGATATCCCCAAATGACCCCTTTTTGCAGAGTAGACAGTCCGACATACTTCATAAGAGGCATGGCGAGTTTTTTGAAGTTGTATTTTTTTGTCATAATTTTTCGGAAAATGAAAAAATTAAAAAAAAAAATTATTTTCACTATTTTTTTTTTTTTTACATACTGTCACCAGTGCAGTACAGCGTCATCATATAACTGGCATGGTGGTGAACAGGGACGCTGACTGGTGACAGTATGAAAAATATATATATACCGGTGTATATATTTTTTTTTTTTTATTATATTAAATTTTTTATTACATTTTTTTTTATTTTTTTTAAGATTTTTTTTTTCATATTTTACTATGACCAAAGTAGTACAATGTTACCATAGTAACATTGTACTACTTTGGGGAAGTGATCAGTATTTTTTTTTTTTTTTTTTTTTTTTTTTTTTTACACAATTTGCTTATAGCAAAGAATTACTTTGCTATAAGCAAGCATTTACCTGAATGAAATCGATTCATTCAGCTTTTTTTTTTTTTTTTTTTTTTTTTTTTTTTTTTTTGTGCTTAGCTGTGATTTGGTCACAGCTAATCACATGACATGTGCATGTGATTAGCTGTGACCATTCACAGCTAGTCACTAGTATACAATGGATGGCATCATGAATGAAGCCATCCATTGTATACAACTGTCATGTGCCCTGCTGTGATTGGTCACAGCAGGTCACATGGTACCAGCAACGGGAGCCGGTACTCGGATCTGTCATCAGCCGTGTCCGAGCTGCACGGCCGGTGACAGATCGCACTGCTGCGCCGCTCTGCATTAGCGCAAACTGCGCATGTGCGGCGCAGCACGCCAAATGGCGTGCACCCGGAGTGCAGAGACACTTTTGAAGCCGCCAAACTGCCATTGGCCGGGCGGCTAATGGTTAAACACTCCTCTTTCCACTTTTCCTGAGACTTTGACAAGTATGCTTATATTACTGTAATATTCTTTATATCCAGTTAGCAGGAAACCTTGTACATTACTTGCCTTCCATAATCATTACAATCTTGACAGCAGATATATGGAAAATCTTTCATACAATGAAGAGTATTGCAGCCCATAGATCATGCAATCCGTCAACATCACTGTGTTGATGGGGAAATCCCTTCCGCAGCCTTCCTGATCAGTGTGGAGCGGACACCGAGCGCCGGGCTTCCCGGGGGATGAGCACATCCACAGCCGCCATGTTCCTTCCTCCAGGAAGGAATCTCCTCCCTCTCCACAGTCTTCTGGAATACGTCACAGGTCCCAAAAGACTGCGGAACTATTTACAATGTGCACCGTGGCTCGCACATGGGCAGTGGGCACCCAGCTGTGAAGCTGCAAGCTGTCACAGCCGAGTACCCACAGTTAAGATGCAAGCTCCAGGAACCAAAGACGGGTGGAGAATTGGCTTAGGTGAGCACAGCTCTGGATCCTGGAACAGGTGAGTGTCTATTTTTTAAAGTCAGCAGCTACAGTTTTTGTAGCTGCTGACTTTATATTTTTATAAATATGTCTGGAGCTCCTGTTTTTAAAAAGATTTTTTTTTTTTTAATGCAAAATATGGGTGGGAATATAACTTGTGTCATTGTCTTTTTCAGTTTTAAAGGTTTTAGAGTGTTGTTTTAACTAGTTGCCGACCGCAGATAGCCGAATGACGGCTTCACTGCGGCCGGCCAGTTCTGGGTGGACGTCATATGACGTCCCCCCAGAACGCGCTCTCCTGCGCGCCCCAGGGGGCGCGCACCCGGCGATCTCCGTGATCGCTGTGTCCTACGGACACAGCTGATCACGTGATGTGGTAAAAGGCCGATCCCAGCGGCCTTTTATCACGTGATCAGCGGTGTCCAATGACACGCTGATCACAGGGAAATGCAAGTGCCGGTTCTCAGCTGCACTTTCCTCACGCTGTCAGATCGTGAGGAAAGTACTGCCGAGAACCGGCAGTTGTCACAGCGGGGATCGGCACCGATCATCAGGACACTGATGATCAGTGCCCTGATGATCGGTGCCCAGCAGTGCCACCCGCAAGTTCCGCCCACCTGTGCCCAGCAGTGCGCCCACTAGCTCCGCCCACCTGTGCCCAGCAGTGCACCCACCTGTGCCACTCTGCAGTGTCACACACTGTGAAGTGCCACCTACCTGTGCCCAGAAGTGCCACCCACCTGTGCCCACCCACCAGTGCCACCCACCTGTGCCCACCCACCAGTGCAGCCCAGCAGTGCTGCCAGTCAGTGCCACCAGTCAGTGCCCAGGGGTTGTGCCAGTCAGTGCCGCCAGTCAGTGCCCAGCAGTGATGCCAGTCAGTGCCGTCTATCAGTACCCATCATCAGTGTCACCTATCAGTGCCGCCTATCAGTGCTGCATATTAGTGCCGCCTATCCGTGACACCTCATTAGTGCTGTCTATCAGTGCCGCCTATCCGTGCCACCTCATTAGTACTGCCTATCAGTGCCCTTTAGTGCTGCCTATCATGCCCATCAGTGCCGCCTATCAGTGCCCATCAGTGCTGCCTCATCAACGCACATCAGTGAAGGAGAAAAAATACCTGTTTGAAAAATTTTATAATAGAAACGAAGAAAAAAATTTTTTTTTTTCAAATTTTTTGCACTTTTTTTATTTATAGCGCAAAAAGTAAAGCGCCCAGTGGCAATTAAATACCACCAAAAGAAAGCTCTATTTGTGAGAAAAAAATGATCAAAATTTCATATGGGTACAATGTTGCATGACCGCGCAATTGTCAATCAAAGTGCGGCAGCGCTGAAAGCTGAAAATTGGCCTGGTAAGGAAGGGGGTATAAGTGCCTGGTAGGCAAGTGGTTAAAGGGTAATATTAAGCTCTTCCTTCATAAACAGTATTGTTTGCTAAAAAGCCCCAAAAAAACCTATACTGAAGCGCAAGGCAGAGGAAGAAACTATTAATACGTTATTACTGTCTTACAGGAAAAGGGGAGAAACTTAAGACATCAGTGGGAAAATATCCCAAGCTCAAAAAAACAGGTAAGTATCATTAGCATGTGGCCTTTCCTGATTACCAGCTATCGCGATAGCTTCCAAAAGGATTTTGTTGTTTTCATGCTATAGCTTTTTAATATAATATATTTAGTAATAGTTGTTTCATCTAAACACTGAGGCAGTATACAATGTTTGAAGAAACCATTCCGTCACTGCTGTTTGCTGCGAAAGCCAAGGTGCTTATTGGTTGTGTGTAGCCTGCATGGACAAAAATAATTCAGAGATAAATACAACATTAAATTGTGATGCCAGTTCCATTTTAATGCTTTCAGCTGCAGAAAGTTGTTCTGATCCTTTTAACTCAAGAGGTTACACAGATATTTCCGAGATCCATTTCAGTAACTCCCTACACAAGCTTGCCCCCTCTTCCTTATGGACAGTCCTAACCCTTTGCTTTAACTATGTCCTCACTGGGCCTGGTAGACACATGGTGATAGCTTCACCAAACCTCCTGTCAATTCTCCTCTCATTCCATCACCCATATTACATAGGTTATGCCTTTGTTACTTACTCCACCCTTCCCCTACTTTAAAAAGGTGAGTTCCTGCAAAGGCAACATTTAGATAATTCCCCTTGCCTTCTCCCTCTGTAGTGGGGACTTCGTCACCCTGTAACATTGTGGAAATTCAACCCCGTTTGGTTTTCCTTGTTTGCAGAAGACACTGACCTCACGCTCACAAGGTCTACTTTCTTTGAATTAAATGATAATGCTGATGTGTTAATAACTTGGGTCTTTTTAGGGACTCCTGCTCACTGGACATTTAAGCCCCTGTGCTTGAGATTTTGACATTCGTATGCAGATGGAAGGTACAGAAGCAAAGTGCAGCCCACTGCTGGAAGCCTGTAAAACTCTTTGAGATGCTGAGGGTTACTGGGGCTTTACGGTGCACCAAGTGGTACTGATATTTAAGGCAGTATGCATCCAGGGATGAATGTCCAGAATGCAGATTTCTTACGTTCCCGGGCATTCGTCCCTGGGTGCATACTGCTCTAAACATTAGTACCACTTTCAGCATCTCATAGAGTTTTACAGGCTGCCAGCAACAGAGCTAGTCAGATGTGCCTGTGCCTTCGGATACAAAGAAAAACAAACAGAGGGCGCACCGGCCTAGTGCATTATATTAAAAAATTTATTGGAAGGATAAAAAGTAAGTATCATACTCACAATAGGCAAACATGTCAAAGGCACATCACACTAAACAGCGATGTCCAATCCACATTGTATGTAAGTCCAAAAAAATAGAAGGAGAAGAAGCGCCTCTAAGTGCAGCATAACACTTTATTAAGGATCAAAGGTAGGAAGCCATCTACAATTTTAATTCTCTTCCTACACTGCGTCACCTTGCAACAATGGCTTAATCACTTTTGTACCCAAACGATTGGTTAATTGATTGCCAATCAGCCCCTATCTCCATATATAAACACCATCGGGCTTCCACCTCCCCCTGCTTGAAAAAGGAGCGCACTTCCTGCCGTCCCAGGCCAGCGCATGCTCCGAAATGCGTCGCAGTGCTCCTTGGGTATCTGACGTCATCACATTCACGCCGTTGCTGCGTTCCAGCGTGCGTTCCACCCGGCTTTGAGTGAGGACGTGCCCACCGATGACCGCTCATTACTCTGCATACCCACCTGTCCGATGTTACACCGTACCACGGTTTTATGCATTTCTTTTACCTCAGTAATGTGAGTGTTCCTACCTTTGATCCTTAATAAAGTGTTATGCTGCACTTAGAGGCGCTTCTTCTCCTTCTCTCATCCTACAGAGTCTGCTACAATACCTTTTGGGAGCATTGCCCTTAGTGCCATTACAGTCATCCTCATCATCACCATCATCATTATTACCATCACCTAACACCAGGATAGCCCAGGACTTTGAGCTAATTTGCGCTGATCACCTCTTTCCATTTTCTCCAAAAAAATAGACTTCCAACATGCTAACGCGTTTCAAGGTCTCAACCTCTTCCTTAGAGCCCTGTGCCTTCCACTTGCACAAAAAGGTCGGAATCTCATGCACAGGCACTAAAAGCCCAGTGTGCGTGAGGCTTTAGGTGTACTCTTGTAGGGTGTTATTTAACACTGTGCAATTCTGGAAACATGCATTTAGGGCAGAGGAGCAGTGTTAAGCCAACTTGGTACTTGTCTCTGAAGGAGATTATGTGCAAGATCCTTCACGTACCTCCAAATGACCCTGAGAGCAAGCGTCTTTTCAGCATAAAATGCATTGGGCTGAAAAGTCAAAAGCTCATGTCTTCTTTACTAAACAAAAGATTTATAACAAAGAGAAAACTGGTAAACTACTTGCTTTTCTTTGTAACACGCAACTGGGATCACACAATTTTCTTTTACTATTAGGGGCAACTGGTGTCAACCTCCAAAGATGTGAATCAAGACTTTTATGACTACTATAGTCACCTTTATTCCTCTATGGAATAAACTGATGTGGACATCTTTCTTCCTGAAACTGTCCTTCCTAGACCTTCCCCCTACTCAGCATGCCTTTTTAGAGTCTCCCTTTACTGTGGAATAAATTTATTCTATAGCCTCCAGTCTCCTGGGGTTGATAGTTTACTCGTTAGATGAGTGTTACCCTTCGGTTCTAGCACCATAACTATTGAAAGTGTGTATAGAAGCCATGAAGAGGGATGAGATGCCCCCTTCTCCCTTGAAGATACTAATTGATGGGCTTCCTAAGCCTCCTGAAGATTTCAAATACTGGAAGTTGTATATAGGCCAATCACCCTACTAACTACTGATGTAAACATATTTACATTAGGCTCAGGTCATAGACTCCCTTGTGTACCAGGATCAAACTGGCTTTATGTCGGGCAAAGGTACATCCATTAACATTAGACAGGTTTTAAAAATATGAAATGTCCTCATTCAAACACGGGCAGCAGGAATTTGATTTCTTTAAATGCCCCAAAGATGTTTGATTCTGTTTGAAAGGTACTTCTTATATGTGTAACTTGGTAGTTTTGGTACAGGGGACAACTCTGGTAATTGGGTCAAATTGCTTTACTATTCCCCAATGGCTGGATATTACCCTTCTTGAGCCAATTGTTAGAAAAGTAGCTAAATGGCCATTGTCTTTTCTTAAAACCCCAAATACACCTTAAAGTGATTGATTGTAAACCTGAATTTTTTTTTTTCTCATTAAAATAAACATGGTATACTTACCTGCTCTGTGCAATTGTTTTCTCCTCTTCTGGAGTCCGCTGCCGACACGCCTGGCTGTTCCCTTCTACCGAGTGCCCACCATAAGAAGCCTCTTCCTATGGTGGACACTCATGTGGGTTCGCTCCCGAGCCACGCTCTGTGTCTATTCAGACACCAAGCCTGTTCAGCCCTGCTCCCCACTCTCTTGTCATAGATTTTGGCTGAAAGCTGCAGGAACCAATGGCTCCTGCTTCTCCCAGGCAAGCCTATGAGAGCTGGGAGAGGAGCTGCTGCAGACGGACTCAAGTGAGTATTTATGGGGGGGGGTACCTTTAATGCAGAGAATGCATTAAGGTTTTTTTACCTTAATGCAAAGTTTGCATTAACAGAGATAATTTTTCTTTGTTTAGCCAGCAGACTAAACAAAGAAAAGAAATAGCAGATTCCTACATCCACAAAAGTGAATGCAGGAATGCCCCCACCGTCCGAATACATTGATCAGCGCTGCACCTGTTGAACGAATAGAAAGTTTCCAGCAGGTCCATTCAGCAGACTCTGATCTAATGATCAACTTCTGCCAAACAAGGAGGGCTACACACAGACAGACGTTCATCCTGTACCTACCGAACTGGGCTAATCTCCATCTGTGTGTACCCAGCTTTATATTGCTCCCAATTTCATTGGTCTCTGCAGCTACGGCAATCTGTACAAACCCAATTTCAGGCACTCACCTTAATGCTTACAGCCCCTCCCCTGATATCTTTTCTATAAAAGGGCCCTAAAATCACATAGTTGGGTTATGTATAATGCCTTGCTAATAACTTACGCATTAACTAATGTGCCTAAATCCATTTAAGCCTGGATGGTGCCATTCCCACATTTGATTTTTTTTTCTGTGACGTAGGATCACTCAACCTTGTGGAGATGCATTATAAAATAATGGATGGTTTACGGTCACAGAGGCTGCTCACTACAAAGTTTGTTAAAGTTTTGCAAGGACGGGGAGCCACACCAGCTTGTGTAGACCTTTTAAAGGATTTTGTAACAGCTAACACGTTCTGGGGGCTCAGCACTCCCCCTTCATCAGGGCTAAAAACCAGATAATGTAGGCAACTTGATTGGAAAAGCAGATGCAGAGGAAGGGAAGGATGCTCTAGAAACCCCAGTGCGTTTCCCTTGTCTCAGGGAGCAACTTACACAGACATGTGTTCTGCAGCATACATACCTAACACCAAACAGACTTGCTAGATTTCCACCCACTCGTTCCCCCTCCTGGCTCTGTGGACACCATATTCTATAACCTGTTTTAGAATTTGTCCTGCTGTGAATGCATTCTGGCTTTAAAGTACTAAATGTTTCCATGATTGCATTGGCTGTCCCATCCCTCTTAACCCCAAGCTTTGCTTACTAGGCATAATAAGTGGACACGTCATAGAACACTACACAGCCTTTGCCTTTTATTTGATAACTTTCTACTTTGATAATGTTAGCCTATAAAATTATAAAGCAGTAACTCCTCCCCATCCCCCCAAATCCTCAAAGCCTTATACTCACCCCTGTCCATGCTGCCAGATCCAAGCCGTATGGTCCACGAGGAGCTGCAGCGAACACTACAAATTCTCAATTATTTGAGATAGATGATCGATAGTCTTTCCATATGAATAAATTGAATGCACAAAACATTCAAGGGATCGACCAAGAAAGCTTGGAGTAGTGACTGTTTGGCCCCCTCCATGAGCCGCACAGCATGTACATGGCCAGAAAGGGGACAGGGGAGTACAGGATGTTTGGGGCCCCGCCCCCTCTCCTCATTGTCTCAGCCAATGAAGAGGGAGAGTCCCTGGAGAGCTGAGGCTCTCATGCACATCTCTGGATTGCGATGGGGCTCAGATAAGTATTAGGGGGGCTGGGGAGGCTGCTGCACACAGAAGGTTTTTTTTACCTTCATGCATAGATTGCATGAAGGTAAAAAACCTTCAGCCCTTTACAACCACTTTAAGATAAACACTACAATAATTACTAAAAATCCCTGAAAATACACTGTATTTTCTGTTTAATGGAGAGATCACCACTGGATTACTTGCGTAAGAGGTTAATGGTTAATTCAGCCTGCTCACTTGATATTGTGTTGGATTGCCAGACGCTATAATTGCATTAGGGTGGTTTTCAGTTTTCTCATTCTTATCTGTTTTGACAGGTGTATGTGCAGTTAGCTGAAGATGACAAAGTCAGATACCAAAATGAATTAAAGGCTTGGGAAGAACAGATGATCGAAATTGGTCGCGAAGATCTTGTTCGAAAAAAGGAAAAAAAACGTCTTTTAAATAAAAGGTTTGCAGAGGTGAATACAAAACCTGGAAAAAGGGTAAAGAAGAAGTCTTCTCAGCATAAAAATCGTGAAGAGTAAAGTTTTTTTATGAGGATTTTACAGTACTTAAATACCCCACAGGCTGCGTGCAATGTGGTTCCTAAAGGAGGACCATAGCAAGTGGTATACTGTCATTTCACAACACAGGCAGCAGTTTGCCTGTACAAAGGACTTTCCCTCATGTTTATAAGTGGCATTTTACCCTACAAGGGAAAAAAAACTTTTACATGTGTCCAGCCTTTTCAGATCATTCTCAGTCCAGTAGGAGCGTTTTGGTCTGCCAACAAATGATTTAACTTCTTTCACATCAGCTATTTAAATAAAGAATTTACATTTACTATGTTGCATTTGTTTTGTTTTTGGTAGACTAGCATTAAAAGAACCAAAAGTGTACTTTTTTGTTTTTTTACTTTGTTGGAATAAATGTGTAAATCATTAAATGGTTCAAAACATGGTGACTGGTTTCATTTATACCTCCCCTAGATGTCAGATCAATGAGAAGAGAATGGTGAAAGATTTGTTATTGCTGACTGTGAACATCTCCACCTTCTGAAACATTTTTCTCAAAGATATTAGTCTTCTCCTACCTCACTGATATCTTAACTTACAGTGCAGCACCAGCAGCTACTGGTGGTCCGGCATTGTATCTGATGGTTTCGAAGGCACTTCTACATTCTGGGGCAGGTGCAAAGAAGACTGGAATCCTAGCTGCTGCATGACCTAGGAAAAAAGGGAAGTATTCCTTTCTATTGCAAGGGCTCCCTTACCCATATCCAGAATGTATGGTGGAAGGTCCATCAAACTGTCCAGTGCTTCCCCATACACTTACATGGGCTGCCTGCTCTGCAGCACCTGACAGCTCAAGTGGCAAACACATGGCAAATTTGCAGACTTAGGGCCCAATATGAATGTGAATGTTTTTGTTAAAAAATGGAATTCCCCCACCTCATCTATAAAAGGTTTTGACGATCCCTGTGCAAGCAAGACATCTTCCATATACATAGTGTGTTTCATATGTGTATTTAACCACTTGCCGCTCAGCCTATGGCCAAATGGTGGCCGTGCAAATACTTGTCCCTCCGGGAGGACGCCTCATGGTGTCCTTCCTGGATTGTGCTTTGCGCAGGGCCACGCTGTGGCGAGATCTGTCACCAGCTGTGTACCTCGAATACGGCCAATGACAGATCTATGTACTGGCCCCATTGCCCGTACCATGTGACCTGCTGTGACCAATCACAGCAGACCACATGACAGTTGTATACAATGGATGGCTTCCTTTCATGCCATCCGTTGTATACAAGTGTGTCTAGCTGTGAATGATCACAGCGATCACATGCACAGGCTGGGTCAATCACAGCCCATCTGTGTCTTGTGATTAGCCATGGCCAATCACAGCTAATCACAAGAAAAAAAATAAAAACCTGAATGAATCGATTTTATTCAGTCAAATGCTTGCATATAGCAAAGAAATTCTTTGCTATAATCAAATTGTGTAAAAAAAAAAAAATACTGATCACTTCCCCAAAATAGTACAATGCTACTATGGTAACATTATACTACATTGGTCATAGTGCAATATGAAAAACAAATCTTAAAACAATTGACATTTTTTTTTTTTTTTCGTACTGTCACCAGTCAGTGTCCCTGATCACCACCACACCAGTTATATGATGATGCTGTACTGCACTGGTGGCAGTATATAAAAAAAATAGTGAAAATAATTCTTTTAATTTCTTAATTTTTTTGAAAAATGACAAAAAAATTACAACTTCAAAAAACTCGACATGCCTGTTATGAAAACACGTTGGACTGTCTACTTTGCAAAAAGGGGTCATTTGGGGGATACTGTACTGTTCTGACTGCTTTGGGTCTCAAGAAATTAGATTGGCTGTCAGTACTTCAGGATTGATCAATTTTCAGATTTATCCCATAGTTTGTGAACTCTATAACTTTCCTACAGACTGAATAATAAATACTGATTTTGGTTATTTTCACCAAAGAAATGTAGCAGAATACATCTTTGCCTAAATTTATGAAGAACAATTATTTATTTGCAAATTTTTATAACCGAAACAAAGAGGTCCTTTTTTTTTTTTTTTTTTCAAAAGTTTCGGTATTTTTTTGTTAATTTAGCAAAAAATAACCCCAGTGGTAATTAAATACCACCAAAAGAAAGCTCTAGTTGTGTGCACAAAATTATAAAATTTTATTTCGAGTACAGTGTTGCATGACCGTGCAATTATTCAAAGTGTGAGAGCGCTGAAACCTGAAAATTGGCCTGGGCAGGAAAGGGCAAATGTGCGGCCGCTCGGTGTCTAGGCCCAGATGCCGGGAGGCCATACATTTGCGTTCGGCCGGCATGAAGGGGTTAATATGATACTAAACCCGAGACCCTGCATTCACTATATCTGCTCTCCCACGGTACACAGAACATGGAAATGCAATTATTTTAGTAAATATAAACTGCTAAATATCTTTTCTCATCACCAGTTAGAATGGTCTTGTGACTTCTATCAGTGTCCGACAGAGCACTGGTTAAAGCTTGTAGGAGGAGTTTTCTTTCTGCTGTAGGAGGATGCAGAACCCCAGACCTGAGTCTTGTGACTTCAGCAGAGCACTGGTTAAATCTTGTAGAAGTTTTCTTCCTTCTCTAGGAGAATGTGAAAGTCCTGACCCACTGTCTGGACAGTGCTTATTGGCCCTGTGCTGATCACATGCACTCTCCCAAGAAAAAAAAAAAAACCTCTCTAGCAATACCCACCAAACTGAGCATGTACATGTGACTACAGATTCAGTCTGTATTAGGTGGTCATTTGAACAAGAGGAGAGGCAAAGAAGAAAGGATCAAATAGCCTTTTTACACAATGCAGAGGATTAACCCCTTAGGTTCCACAGTGAGTATAACAAGCATGCTTTACTGCATATACAGACTGATTTTACTGTTGTGGGTTTAGTAACACTTTAAGGATATGGGTTTCCATAAATTATGGGCAAAAAACATATAAATAAAACCTTACTCAGCATGGCAAATGTGAAACTTGAGTTTCTGTGGAGAGGAATAAGGAGCGCTCTTCTCCTGACCCTCTGCTAATACCAACTCTGGATCAGATGCCGTGGGGGATCGTAGAACATTGTTAGATCCTGGAAAGAAATATTAAAAAATAAAAAAAGTGCTTTTTTTTCCTACACTTTCTGGTGAACTGCTGTTAAATAGGGGTGAGGTGAGTAGTACATAACCCCCACCCCACTACCCCTTGCCAGCACCCCAATGTCTGCATTGGGCACCAGTGATATAGAAGGAGGACCCTTCCCAGAGCACCTCCCCAAGAGCATGTCGGCTAATAACAGGGAGACTGCATGACTGCAGCTCTTCAATTTGGGTATAGCAGCCTGCGTGCTTTGTTGGTTAGCTCTAGGAAGTGTGGGGAGGAGCATGACTTTTTTTATGTTATGAATTTAAAAAAAAAATCCATGTAATTGTTGAATCTACATTAAATACACAGGTTCATTGTGATAATTAGAGTGAACATAGAAAATTGAATCTTGGTACAAAAATGGGCAAATATCAGACAAATTGATTAATAAATGACAAATCAATTATAAGCAATGTTAGTGTTAAAGTGACACTGAAATCATTTAACATCAATTGTTCTAAGATATCAAGTGTACCATAGCTCTGGTTTTTTTTTTTGTAAGTCTCTTACTGTTGTTTCCAGGCTTATTAAGGCCCCTTTCACGCGGGCATTCCGTATGTCCGTTTTTCATCTGTCCGATGAAAAATGGACACTCATGTATTTCTATGGACTAGCCGATGTAAACGGATGATCACCTGTTTACATCCGTTAATATCCACATCTGTTAACATCCTTTTTTTTTGAGTGGAAGAAAAACGTTTTTTTTCTTCTGTTCAAAAAAAAAAGGATGTAAACTGACAAAAACGGATGTAAAATGCATCGAAATGGATGAAAAAGTGATGTAAATGGATGAAAAACTGATTTCAACTGATGGAAAACTGATCAGTTTTTCTTGGAAATATTGTGACTGAACTGGTGAAAAAAAAACAGAACACCCATGTGAAAGGACCCTTAGGCTAGGTTCACATTAGTGCAGGTGGTGCCGCTGCGGATCCGCATGAAAATCCGTGCAGCCGCACCACCCGCACAGAGAAATGTGGACCCGTGGGCGGGTGCACAGGACTCAGAAGATCACAGTTATCTGTAGTATTGCCAGTCAGCTTCTCAAACAGCCTCTCAGGTATGAAATATACATACTTCCCTAGGTTCAAGCAATGAATATTATACCTGGATTACAGTTTTAAGAGTTTAGAAGCAAACACTTCACTGATTATAATAACCATTTAAGCTCTGAAGCTTTTACCCCCTTAATGACCAGGACTTTTGTTTTGCTAATCAGCACTGCGCTACTTCAACTGGTAATTGCACAATCATGCAACGCTGTACCCAAATGAAATTCATATAATTTTTTTCACACAAATAGAGCTGTTGGTATTTGTTCACCACTGGGTTTTTGATTATAAAAACTAAAAAGACCGAAAATTTTGGAAAAAAAAATAAAAACTTTCTGCTATAAAATGTATCAAATAAAAATGTTTAAAAAATCGAATTAATTCATAAATTTCGGCCAAATTGTATTCTACTACATGTCTTTGGTAAAAAAAAAGAATCCCAATATTAATTGGTTTGCATGAAAGTTATAGTGCTATAGCTGGATTTATTTTTTTATACTAGTAATGGCAGTAATCAGCGACCTGTAATGGGACTGTGATAGTGTGGTGGGCAATCTGACACTGTGAGAACTGACTGACACTGACATCACCAGTGACACTAATACAGTGATCAGTGCAAAAACTACTGTATACACTGAAACTGTACTAATGACACTGGCTGGGAAGGGGTTAACATCTAGAGGCAATCAAAGGGTTAAATGTGTGCCTAACAAGTCTAAAGTGTGCTGTTTTTACTAAGCAATGTGACTGTTTTTACTCCCTCCTTTGCAGACAGAAAACAGTCACATTGCTG